CCTGGGCTGCTATCAGATTGCCTGCAGGGCTTCCTGCAGAGCCGTGGAGATGAATGGAGCCTGGTACTTTGCTCTGTGGCTGTAGGGGCAGCAAACTAAAACTCCTTCAAGGGGTTTTAGTTTGCTGTGCCTCAAGTCATTTTAAGGTACATTATGCCACTGAATTTCCTGCAGCGGCTGGAATTAAGGAACAATATGCCACCGAGGCGTGCAAACACCAACACCATTAAAACGGTGCAAAAGCATTTAGCCCGATTTTAAAGTGTTATGCACACATGCCTCTCATTTCGTCTACAAACTGCCCTAGCTATTGAATTAAATTGAACTGAGTACACTGAAATGAAGGAAGTAATATCTTTGCACCTGCAGAGGAGAATACAACTGTCAAAATTGCGGTTTCAGGTGCCTAGCTAATAATTTCCCCCAAGCCCATTAATTTTTCTTCCCTTCAAACTTCAGTAGCACACATTAATAATAATAATAATAATAATAATAATAATAATAATAGTTATATTGGCTTACTACAATATTTTATACTTATATTAATATATTTTATATTGTATGTATATTTTATATTTATATTAAGCTTACTATAACATATTTTAAAATTATTTAATGTCAAATTTTGATCTTTAAATTCAGAACAACATTTTCTAGAATGACAGATGATGGCCTTCGTGAGCTAAATGATTAGACTAGCCCATGATTCTTATGTATTGTTTGTTAACAATTCCTAGAAACTTTCTTTTCTGATGCTGCCCTTCTCCCCGCTTTTCACATAAATTGGTATTTTGGCATAAACAGTAGAGCCTAAAGAAAGGGGCACACTTGAGTTCTTATGGCAAGATTCAGAAAATAAGTTTCCACATTCAAGACAGAAACATTGGTCATTATTTTTTCCCTTTTCATGCATCTGCCAGGACTTTCTAATCCTTATCTAGAATACAAAATAATGCACATATATAGTGCTTTGCAAAAACTAGTTAATTACTCCACAGAACACTGGCATGGAGAATAAATTTTACTATCCTTATTTTTTTCATTTGCTGTTGGGTAACAGCATTTATTGTTCCTGAAGACAGTAATATTGATTTCTGTGTATATTTTGATACTCATCAAAGAGATTGTATACTAGGTTTCCAAGGATGTCAGCTTGTTGTCTGTCACAAGTATTAAACAGCCTTAAAACTAGGCAATAGGATGAATTGCTGCTCTAACCCCACTATCCTTCTGAATGTAAATCTGGATCCAAGTTCACAAAAGGAGTCTACCTCTGTAACTAGTAGTTTTTAAACGCTCTGAAATTTGGAAGAATAGATTCAAATCAAGATTTTAAATTTTCCGATTTGGAAATTCTCAAAACTGGGCGTTTGATTTCACTTTTTACACAGACTCGGATTTCTGGCCTGACTGTATTTGAAACCATTGTATTGCAAAAAAGCTGCCTAACAGTGAAGAATACTTGACAGTATACTGGCTGATCCTATTCTTTGTTGAAACTTTTTGGGTGTATGCCATAAATATGGCTGGTTTTCAGAAAGACTTTTCTGCATATAGTAGATGCATCTACATGTGCACTTTACTGTGGAGTAGACAATTTACTTTGCAGTGAAGCATTACAGTCTACACGTGTGGCAGTATTAGGGCATGGTAAGCTACTTAACTCTGCTGAAAGAGAGTACTGATGGGGACCACTACTATTTTAGAGCAGAGGAATTTACTATGCTAAAATGCATGTGTAACTGCTGACTGCAGGTGTACATTGTGCCTAGTCAGCCCAGCCAGCCAGGAGCCTGCTCCATCCTGGCTCAAATTGTTGCTCTTCTGGACGCATGTGTCGATGCTCCCCCAGGAGCAGTTTGCTCTGGCTTGAACTGCTCCGGAGTTTACTGTGTCTTATTAATTGCACATGTAGATGCACCCATTGATGATGATGTTTAAAACTAGCGTTAGAGAAATAAATGTACGTAATTTGGTTTCAAGAAAAATAAATATAGTGATAAGGAATCGATACAACTCTCTAACCATATAATAGCCATTCGCAGAATCCTTGGCTAGAGCTAAACTTAGTGTAGATCCCTATAAAATGGCACGAAATAGTAATAATGAGATACACTTCATAAGACTGTTTTGGATAAACTTGTGCTGAGGCTAGGGCTAGGATTCAGAAAGACTTAGACAGATTACAGGATTGGACCAAAAGAAATCTCATGAAGTTCAATAAGGACAAGTGCCAAGTCCTGCACTTAGGGCGGAACAGTCCCATACACCAGTACAGACTGGCAACTGACTGGTTAAGCAGCAGCTCTGCAGAAAAAGACCTGGGAGTTGCAGTGGACAGTGAGCTGAATCTGAACCAACACTACGCCCATGTTGAGAAGGCTATCACTGTACTGGCTTGCATTAGTAGGACTGTTGCCAGCAGATCAAGGGAAGTGATTATTCCCTTCTGTTAGGCACTGGTGAAGCCACATCTGGAGTACTGTGTCTAGTTTTGGGCCCCTGACTATGGAAAGGATTTGGGCAAATTGGAGAGTCTAGTGGAGGGCAGTGAAAATGGCTAGAGGGAGGGTCACATGCCATTTGAGGAAAGACTGAAGGAACTGGGCTTATTTAGTTTAGAGAAGAGAAGACTGAAGGGGGATTTAATAACAGCCCCTGAATGGTGGTTCCAAAGACAATGGAGCTAAACTGTTCTCAGTGGTGGCAGATAACAGGCAAGGAGCAATAGTCTTAAGTTATAGCAAGGGATGTTTAGGTTACCTATTGAGAAAAAATTCTTACAAGGAGAATAGTAAAATACTGGAGCCAGCTACCCAGAGCGATTGTGGAATCTTTATCTATTGAGGTTTTTAAGACCTGGGTAGACAAAGCCTTTGTTTGGATGATACAGTTGGGGATGGTCTTGCTTTGAGCAGGCATTTGAACTAGATGACCTCCTGATATCCTTTCTAACCTTAATTTTCTATGATTCTAAGAAGAGTACATATTTTTGCAAAACAATGATGTGCTGCTTATGCCATGTAATTTTTTAAGATCAGTTAAATGGTCATTCATTTATTATGCTTAAGAAGGTTCCAAACCACAAGAATGTGAAAGACCATGCTTTTGCATGTAAACAATCAGTTATTATTTATATAAATAAAAATAATAGTCTAAATAAAAAAATCATGTAATATAGTTGGTACAATTTTTCCTGGTCTCTCAAAATTCTTTTATGTTTGCCAAAATGAAAATGAGAAAGAAAAGCAGGTCATTTATCCTATTGGCTCCTGCAGGAGAATTTGCCCCCTTATGAATTCCTCATCCAGTTCTCCAAAACAAAATCCTTTATCGTCTCCCAGACATTAGGGCTAGAAATGGATATTGCTGAATGAAGTGGATCAGCTGTGCTGCAGTGTGTCACAGCACAGCCAATCCACTTAACTCAGCCAAAACATGTTGCCCCTTGCCCTGTCTTTGGTGTGGGACAAGTGACTATATGATCTGCCTGCTTTCCTCATCCAGGCAGATCTGGGGCATGGTTCTGGCTGAGTGGGGAAAGCAGGAAAGGACCGTTATCTGCCCAGCCAGACCTGGGGTAGGAATCTGGATGAGCAGGGAAAGCAGGGAAGGACTTTCCTCACCCAGCGAGATCTGGGACACTGGTCTGGCTTGAACAGGGAAAGTGTGACAGAGGCAAAAGGTATCTGCTACAATTAAGCAGCAGTCTATTACCACCTTTTGTTGCACCATTGATTTTCTTTTCATATGGCACAACAAAGGGTGTCCCGAAGTACAGGTTTTGTAAGTTTTTGCAATACAGGTAATTTATTTTTTGCTGAATCAAGTCCTTAGCGATGTAAGATCTTTTTCATGTGGTAAATGCTAGTGAACTGCAAGCTATACTAATGAGCTGAGCTGTCCTTCTAGATACTGCTCACGTATCCACACTAAATTACTTAAAGTTAAGAGTATACTAAGTTAATTTCTGATGACAGTACCTCCCAGCTTTGTGTCAGTGTAGAGGAGGATCAGCATATCGTGCTAAGAGGCCTGAGTGACACTGAGGACTAGAGAAATAGACTGCATATTTATTACTTGGAAACAGCCGTAGAAAAGACGGACCTAGATGTCTTATCTACTTGCGAGATAACTGAGCCACCAGTGCGGCATGACTAAATGGAAAATGAGATCATGGGAGGCATCAGGCAAATTATTTCAAGTAAAATAGGGAAATATTAATGTTATGATAAAAGGTTCTATTAAGACCTCATCTAGAATACAGTGCATGGTTCTGGTCCCCTAAAATTATTTAGGGAAGATTAATTACAATTGGAACAGGATTATTAGGGGAGCAGAGAGCCTATTTTATGATAGGGGACTAAAAGAGCAAAATCAAGGCTGAGAGACTATACAATTGTATTCTGTAAATACAGTTGGGGTTAGGAGGGGAAAAAGTACTCAAGATAAAGGACAATGCTGACATAGGAAAAATGGGTATAAACTTGACATGAGTAAATTTAGGCTGGAAATTAGAAGAATGAATTTAGCACTAGAAAGGATCCCTGGGTCACTGAGTCCAGTCCTCTACCAGTACAGGCAAACACCTTACAATTCCATTTATTTATTTATCACCGCTTCATTTCCAATACGAGCAGTGGGCGGCAAATATTTTTATAATATGTCCACAAGAAGTTGCCATCAGGTCATCTTGGCAGAGCTGAAAATTTGAACATTATCTGTTTTCTTTACTACTCTGTTTATATAGGCCAGTATCATGACTGAAGTAGTGTTCAGTGACCTGGGGAAAGGGAGCCATATAATTATTCTTTATTCTTATTTAATCTTTTGAAATCACTGAGATTCCATCAAGACTTAATTTTGACATGAGCACATATTTTTGAATGCTAAATATATTGACGGGGAGGGGGAAAGGGAAATCTCATGTGATGGCATTTCTGAAATTCAGAAACAAATCTTTCATATATAGTAACTGACCTATATTTTTTTTTGTCCAGTTTGTTTCAGATCCTTGTGCCAGCGACCCATGTCACCATGGTAACTGCAGCAAAAGTGGAGATGGCTATCTCTGTATTTGTGATGAAGGTTATGAAGGAACAAACTGTGAACATTCATTTCACAGTCCTCCAGTCTCTGGATGGACAGAGTCACTGGCACCAAGACAGATCCGACCAGTTTCATCAACTTTGGAACCTGACATTATTTTACCACATTCAAGAGTGACTATGACATTACCTACATGGCAGCCAAAAGCAGGACAGAAAGTTGTAGATCTGAAATGGGATGAAATGAAGGTGAGAACACTCTGTTTAAGGGAGTCATACATAAAAGGCTGTTTTATCATTTGATATAGTTCTGTAGGTGTATATGTTGGAGTACTGGAGAATAAGTTCTGCCCCAGTCCACAAAATTACAAGCTAAAACATTAACACCTGCAAATGGTCATGGCTTAATTCTTTTCAAAATAGATGTAGAATTTTTAGATATAGTTTCTGGAAACTTTTTTGATATGTAGAAGACAATATCTTTTAGTTCTTTATTAATAAACATGAGTATTCAAATAAATTAAAAAAACTAAACAAAAAACTCAAAAGAGTAAATTATACAGCATACCTTTTAGCATGATTTTCTTCCTTTGATTGGTAGTGATATCCTTTTACATGTGTATAAAAAGAATCCCACATTATTTTGAAAACTGTAGCCCCATAATATTACTGAAATTAAGCTAACTCTGTGGTTGAACATAATTGCCTAGGTGACAAAAATGACACTCAGTACACTGTATGTCAGTAGTTGATGGCATGTGGAGTGGAGAGAACTTGATCAAGAACTGTGAAAAACGTGTGTTAAATAATCTTTTGAAAAGGAGCTTGATTTTTAGTATTCATTTTTTAATGGCCATTCAACATCTCTGTTTTTAATAAGATTAACCTCCGAGACAGTACATAGTGCCCTTCAAAGAAGATCTATCTGAAAGAATAAAGGCTGTGTGTAGACCATGTTGAGATTTGAACTTGCAGTTCCAGAGTGTTTTATTGTATGCTAAGGTAGTCACAGGTTACAATGTATAATTTTAAATTGTCATGTTTCTGTGTTCAGTTTTGTGAACCGTCACTTGACTTTATGAGAGAGCATATATGAAGCTCCCTATGGAAACTTTGTATTTCTAGTCTTCAGCCTTGTAGCCTTCTAGGCTCATGGCATCCACGTTAATTGTGCCATGCCACACATTCAGCCAATTTATGGCTCCATAAAATGGCAAACCATCCACAAAGATAATCTACATAAAATGTGGAACATCTTCACGGCTGGTTTGTATGGTACCATGCAATGAATGCATGGCATGCCCCATCATCCCAATGCTGACATTCAGCTGATTGTCAACTTTAGGACCTGGGCAGTCCCAGATTTGGAACCCATCAGGGTTTGCCCCAATACCAGTAATTGCTGATTGTCAGCATTAAACTGGAACAGCCTCAGTCTGGTGCCAACAGTGGGGTACAGGATGAGTGGGTTGCAAGGTTACTGGTGTGGGAAGCCCCCCTTGACTAGGACCCTTGCAAACTTTGTGCCCAGCCATTTTAAAACTACTCGGTGAACGTGTCTACTAATGCAATTAGTGCACCTGAATAAACTCTAACGCAGTTGGTGTTGGAGTTTATTGCTCCCAAGTTCACTATTTGCATGTGTGCCTGAGACCATAGCACATTGAGCTGGGGCAGAGCAGCCCTGGCTCTGAGGAGGCCCTAGGGGTCAGCCTGCTAGCCCGGGGCTGCTCTGACCCAGTTCAATGTGCTGCAGAGGAGCTAGCTGGGGTACAAGGGTGCTTCAGTGCAGGGCTACCCAGCAGGCAGTCCACACACTGAAGCACTCTTGTGCCCCCATTGACCAGGTCAGCATCTACATGTGTGTTGTACTGGAGTAAATACTCCATTGTAGGATGGTACTTGTGTCTGGTACTACTATCCTACGGCGCAGTTAATTAGTTTACTCTGTCGTAATAGCATGGCACATGTAGACGCTCACATTTTACTGCAGAGCTAATTTGGCAACTCTGCAGTAAACATCTCATGTAGATGTGCCCTGTATGTTTAAAATTCTGGGTTGCAGGAAGCCCCAGGCTCCCTGTGACCCAGACCATTGTTTCCTTGCCTTGAAGCTCCCAGGAGCCAGATGACCTTCAGTCTTAACTAATCAAGAGGCCATGCAATGCAATTTGGCTCTTTTCAACACAATTTAAAATAAACAATTTTTCTGCTTTTAAATTTCTCTTGTTTTACGTGTTTAAATTTTCCAGGGCTAAGAACTGATACCCCATCAGTGTGATTTGAAACTAGCAGATGCTTTCAATTTGGCATAATACTGCTATTTTAAATCAGTCTTATTATGTATATATGGGAAACAGTATTAAGTACAACATTATATGTACCTTCTAACACTAATGGCATAATAGATGCATAAAACATGTAATGCTGAGCCATGTTTGAACGACTGAGAACCAGCATTTAAAAAAATCAAGATTGCTAAAGGTGACTGGTAGTAAATTGTAAACAGTTATCATGCATCTTACAAAAATCTTATAATCCAATATCTGGCAATAAGGCATTCAGAATGTGCTTTATATATGAACTCTAATGAGAGACCCTTACTCTGTTGCTGCTTTGTGCAGCAGTCCACTCTCACTGGGGAATCTTGTATTCATTGCAGCACACCTTACCCTTTTTACTTGAATTTATAATGTTTTCCCCCCAAATCAACATGGGGGAAAAAAGCCCCTTGTCTTACATTCCCATACAAGGAAATCTCATTAAATGCATTGCCTGTCTTAGAACTGCTGCTAAAAGCAGTTTGTGCTCAGTAATGGAAACCAGATAGAAGCTAATTTAAATACAGCCAACATGACTATAAAGTACATGGCCCATATGGGGAAACATGCTGATGGAAACTTACCACTTTTTTTTTGCAAAAAATTAAAATAAAATGGAGAAATATAGATGGATATCTATCTATCTATCTATCTAGATTGAATATTTTGCTATAGCTCTACCAACCTGTGGGTCACTTGACAGTCCAATACACACTTTTACACTTGCACCATTCTCATTCCCATTATAAAACTGCACCACACACCCACGTTCCTATGTGCCTGAGCACCCATTTGTCCATTTCTGTCACCTTTTAACCATCACAGTTACATGGAGGGCACCTCAGTGCCCTCCCCACTTCCCCTTTCCCTTCTCCTCATTTCCCCACCAACTCCTCTGCCTATTTGTCCAGAACTTTCACTCATCATGTATTTGTCGTCATCAACAAATGTTGTCATCATTGTTGTTCTCATCGTCATCATTGCTGCTCTTTTCAGGGGACCTGCCTCTGAGCAGTCTATGCCAGTGCCTTCTCTTCCATGTGAAGTTTGCCGTCTCTCGTCTGTCGTCTTCTACCATTTTTCTGCAGTACCGGTACATCTCACTCAGTCCAATTTTGATTTAGCCCTTGACTGAGAGATTTGTTTGACTGTTTATGAGCAGGTTGCTAGTCCTCCACAGGGCATTCCTGAAGCAGAAGATGAATTGGTCAAAGCGGGCTGTTGGGGTCCCTTGCTTCTTAGTCAAGTGCCCATACAGAACTGCCTCTCTGGTCTGGGTTATGAACTCTGTCACCACTAGAAGAAGTACATGTATTATCTTCCAAACCTCTCTAGCATATAGGCAGTTCTGGAGGAGGTGGTTGATTGTTTGTGGCTCCCACTGGCAGGTTTGCCTGGGGCAGTTTGGGCCTCTGCTAATTCACTGTTTCTCCATGCCCATGCTAGGAGTGCCTGGTGGGATACCTGCCAGTTCAAGTCTCTATGCTCCTTCTGCAGGTCCTTATGGAAGATTTGCTCCCACATGGCCAGGTGGTTGTTGCTGGGTAATAGGTCCATAGGCAACATGATATGTCTTGCCTTTACTGTCTCTAGAATCTTACAGTGGTTCATCAGGGTTGCTGCGGCCTTGTCATGCAGTTTTTATTTGTCCAGAAGTGCTTCAGGACCTCATAGAACCATGGCAATGCCCTGGTCCATGGGCTTGCATTGGTTATTGTGTACACTGACCACTTTCACAGTAGTGGACCTGTAAAACACTTTACAAAGTTAGCTGTTTTGGATTCTGTCCTTATTGCCACTTTGCAGATCTGGCTTATGTACTTGACCCAGAAGAACAGTGGGATGCCTGGCAGTCCTCCGCCTCCAGACCATTTTGCTTTGTTCAGTGTGGCCCTTGCTACCTTCTCTCATTTGGAGTCCTGGAAGAAGATGCACATGGCTCTTTGGATTCTGCAAATGACTTGCTTTGAGGAGGGGAAGACTAGTGCAGAGTGTAGAGGCACTGGTAGTAACACTGCCTTTGTGAGTGCCCTGTGCCCCTCCCCTCCCCTCCCCCCAGTTGACAGGCAGTGCAGTTTCCATAGTATTAATCTGTTTGGCCTTGGTCTCAGTCTTTTCTCATGCTTTCTGTCTGGTCAGCTGTGGCTCAAACTCCACCCTGAGGATCTTTACCCTGTTGAAGAGGATGGAGACCCACAGGGCTGACAGGTTCCTGAGTAGGCAGTTGTTTTGCTAATGTTGAGCTTGGCCACTGTTGCTGCTCTGTATACTTGGGTGTGTTATAACACTCTTTAAATTGACCACTTGTCCCTGCATATGATATTGAGGTCATCCATGTAGGCCAGGACCGTTGTCTCTTCCTGGTTACTCCCAGGGATATCTACTCCGCTGATCCTGGGGTCCTGCCTGAGCCACTGTCATAGTAGTTCGAATTACACAGATGAGCAGAATTGGGGATGGTGGGCAGCCCTGGCAGATGCCTGACTCCACCACAGTTGGAGATGTCAGGCGCTCGTTTACCAGTACCCTGCTACTCACATTAATGTACAGCATCTTTATCTAGGTGATGAAGGTTCAGGGGATTCTGATCTTTTCAGTTTCTCAAATAGGAACCAATGGAACACTTGGTCATAGGCTCTCTCCAGGTCGAGGTTCAGCATGGCAGCATTCAGCCCCTCTCCAATTGGTAGCATGTGTTACAGCTACATCAGGGCTCCGTGCGTCTGTCATCTTGGCACCACACACAATTGGTCCTCGTGGATCACTGTACCTATAATGGACTTACAGCTCTTGGCCAGGATTTTGGCCATTAGTTTTGTAGTCAAAGTTCATAAGCATTGTGGGATGCCAGTGTTCCAGGTTCCACTTCTCCCATTCTTGTAAAGAAGAGTTATGAGGCCTTTCTCCATTTCTTCTCCCAGGTGGCCT